GTGCTCTGTGTTCTTGCTGCTCCCTGGGAAGAACGCACTGCCTTCCCTGCCCAGTACTTACCCCAATTCTGGCTCAAGTAGAGAAGAACTTGAGCAAGTTTTTAGACAAGAAGTTTGAACTTGCCATAACCTTTAATTCTTCTCGGTCAGTCCTTTTTGTAAAAATAGAATCACAATAAGCAATTATTATTTTCTCTAAATTATTATTTAGAGAAGCTCTTTAGAAGGGAGTGAATTCAACCAGTGTGCACTTTAATTTTAAGGCATTTAAGGTGTTACAACTATATTAAGGTACTTGGTGAGATCTGATGACTTAGGTTGAGCTATTTGCCCTTTCATCGAGCAGCTCCCATAGAACCTTTTCCCAAGGTCATGGTGAACTGGCTTGGACTCTATTCTAGATGCCAGGCAGACTTTCATTTGAATTGTGGGTGTGTCGTTTAAACATTGTGACCTAGAGCAACTTATTCAGCATTTTGAACTACAAATAGGTTTTACACCATAATTTCTTCACGATATTTCTGGAAGATTGGATGGAATTGTATATTCAAAAATGATAATCTCAACTTTCCAAAGAGGTGACCTCTTTATGAATTTCTAGCTAAGATTGTTGTTTTGAACTCTCCAGCATTAGGATCCCAATGAATTCATAAAATCATTCCCAGTGACCTACACACAAATAAGGAGGAAGCTGACATTCCTTCAATGAGGCCTAGTCCATTACCATTAGGAAATCTGTGGAGAGATTATAGATCATTTAGATTTGTTTCCTCTTTATTTTATCTATTTTAAAAAAAAAATCTTTTTTATTTTACATACTAATCCCAGTTCTCCTTCCCTTCCCTCCTCTTCCTGCTCCTCACCTCACCCCCAATCCACTCCTGAGAGAGGGTAAGGCCTCCTATGTGGAGTCAATAAAGTCTGTCACATCATGTTGAAGCAGTACCAAGGCCCTCCCTCCTTCCTGTGTCTAGACTAAGCAAGGTATTCACCCATAGGGCTCCAAAAAGCCAGTTCATTCACTAGGGATTAGTGGTGGTCCCACTGTCAGTGGCCCCACAAACTGTCCAAGCCACACAACTGTCAACCATATTCAGAGGGCCTAGTTTGATCCTATGCCGGTTCCCCAGCTGTCAGTCTGGAGTTAGTGAGCTCCCACTGGCTCGACTTGAGTCAGCTCTTTCTGTGGATATCTCCTTCATGGTCTTGATGTCTTTGCTCATATTATTGATCCTCCCTCTCTTCAACTGGACTTCAGGAGCTCACAGTGCTTGGCTGTGAATTGCTGTATCTACTTCCATCAGTTAACGGAAGAAAGCTCTATGATGACATTTAAGGTAGTCATCAATCTGATTACAGGAGAGGGTCAGTTCAGGCACTCTCTCCACTATTGTTTAGAGTCTAAGCTGGGGTCATCCTTGTGGATTCCTGGGAATTTCCCTAGTGCCTGGTTTCTTGCTAATCCTATAACGGTTCTCTTTATCAAGATAACTCTTTCCTTGTTCTACCTATCTGTTCTTCCCCCAGCTCAACCATCCAGTTGCCTCCTGTTCTCCTCTCCGTCCCTTTCTCCCCTCCCTCCTTCTCCCCTTCCCTTCTCTTTCTTCCTCCACTTCTGCCCTCTCCCATTTTTCCATGCTTCCCATTTAATCGAGAGATCTTGTCTATTTCCCCTTCCCATTGGGATCCATGTATGTCTCTCTTAGTGTCTTACTTGTCACCTAGGTTCTCTGGGGTTGTGAACTGTAGGCTGATTATTCTTTGCTTTATTTCTAATATCTGCTTATGAGTGAGTACATGACATGCTTGTCTTTCTGGGTCTGGGTTACCACACTTCAGTGATTTTGTCTAGTTCCATCCATTTGACTGCAAATTTCAATATATCGTTTTGATTTTTTTTTTTTTACTGAGTAGTACTCCATTGTGCAAATGAACCACATTTTCTTTATCCATTCTTCAGTTGAGGGGTATCTAGATTGTCTCCAGGATCTGATTATTACTAATAATGTTGTTATGAACACAGTTGAGCAAATGTTTTTGTGGTATGAGTATGCATCCTTTGGGTATATGCCCAAGATATATGTTGGGTTTTGAGGTAGATTGATTCACAATTTTTTGAGAAACTGCCATACTGATTTCTGTACAAGTTTGCACTCCCACCAGCTACTCCACATCCTCTTCAACATAAGCTGCCATAAGTGTTTTTGCTTCTTGAAATTCAGGAAAGCCCAGTGTAACATGAGGGGCCTGCTTGTTGGGGTTTCTGTCCCGCCCAGTACTCCATCGTCGGCAAGCCCAAAGAAAAATCACACACAGGACTCCATAAGGTTATAAACTGATTAGCCCATTAGGTCAGGTTTCTTGTTAACTCTTATAACATATATTACCCCATTATCCTTATCTATGTTAGCCACACGGGCTCAGTACCTTTCTCAGTGTGACAGCTTACATGTTGCCTCTTTGGTGGTCTGTGCAGGAATGCGGAGGGAGTTTCCTGCTTCCCAGAATACTCCCAGTCTCTTTGCTCCACCTCTACTTCCTGTCTGGCTTTCCCGCCTATACTGCCTGCCTGACCAATCAGCGTTTTATTAAAATATGATTGACAGAATACAGACAATTAAACAATTCAAAGAGAGAATAATAGCATACAGTATCAAGATTCTCTGTTTATTTTCCATCTTTATGCGGCTTTATTTTAACCTCTATTTCTTTTATTTTTACTCTTACTTTTTGAGACAGGTTCTCTGTATATCTTTGTCCTGGAATAACACTATAGACCAGGCTGTCCTTGAACTCACAGAGATCCTTCTGTCTCTGCCTCCCCAGTACTGGGCTCAAAGGTGTTTGCTACCACACCTTGAACTCACAGAGATCCACTGGTCTCTGCTTCCCCAGTGCTAGGATTAAAGGTGTGTGCCACCACACCTTGAACTCAGAGATCTGTCAGTCTCTGCCTCCCAGGCATTGGGATTAAAGGTGTGTGCTACCACACCTTGAAGTCACAAAGGTCAACATATATACATTAGAGTTTTACTCAGCGGTAAAAAAACAATGACATCTTGAATTTTGCATGCAAATGGATGGAAATAGAAAACGCTTTACTGAGTGAGGTAAGCCAGACCCAAAAAGAGTATTCACTCTTTTGAGTATTCACTCATAAGTGGATTTTAACCATAATTAAAGGTCTTTGAGCCTATTATTCGTGATCCTAGAGAAGCTAAATAAGAAGGTGAACCTGATGAAAATCATGTAGCTATCCTCCTGGAGATTGGAAATAGACAAGAGTGCCAGGTAACCTCGGGTGCATGGGGGGTGGGGGGGGGCTCTTGGAAGGGGAGAGGGTTAGAGAGAAGGGAGTAGGGGAGGAATGACTAAAGATCGGGGGACTGGGATGGGAGGGAGGGAGAATGGATAGATATGGGATCAGGGAAGTATACACCTCAACTAAGGGAGTCATTTTAGGGTTTACAAGAGACTTGAGTATAAAGGGGATCCCAGGTCCAAGGAGAGATCCCCAGATTGTTCTCTGGACAGAGGAGAGGGTGCTTGAACCGGCCTTGGCCCACAACCATACTGATGAACATTTTGCATATCACCATAGAACCCTCATCTGGCGATGGAGGGAGACGGAGGCGGAGACCCACATCGGAACACTGGACCTAGCTCCCTAGGTCCAAATGAGAGGCAGAAGGCAGGAGAACGTGAACAAAGAAGGCAAGAGCAGAGGAAACCTTCATCCGAGGTTGGATGGCGATACAGACGGAGACCCATATTGGAGCACCGGACTGAGACCTCCACGGTCCAAATGAGGAGCAGAAGGATGAAGAAAATGAAAAAAGAAATCAGGACTGTGATGGGTGACATCACCCACTGATACAAGGGGACTGATCTAATGAGAGTTCACCAAGGCCAGCTGGACTGGAACTGAACGAGCACGTGATCTAACCAGATTCTCTGAATGTGACCGGATTCTCTGGATGTGGCTGGCCCGGAGTCTTTCTGAAAAGCCATTGACAATGACACTGGGACTTGTTTCCTCTGCATATACTGGATTTTTGGGATCCAGTCTGTTTGGATACTCACCTTCCTGGACCTGGAGGGAGGGGGGAGGAACTTGAACTTCCCACAGGGCAGGAAACCCTGACTACTCTTAGGGATGGAGAGGGAGGAGGAGAGGGAGTGGGGAAAGTGAAAGTGGGAGGGTGTTGGGAGGAGGGGCGGAAATGGAAACTTTTATAATTTAATAAACTTTGAAAAAAAGATATGTATGTAGTTAGTTACAATTACAATAACTTATTTGATGTTAATACAGAAATAGCAGCAACTGTCCATGCCACTTGTAGAAACACTCATTCATCTGTTTTTAAATCATCCATGTATTTTAAAAGGACAATTTCAAGTGTATTTCAGAAAAAAGAAAACATACAATAAATAGATGAAAGTGTTTTAAAACTTTGAATAAGGGTCTTCGTTAAGTCTCCAAGTAGAGTTTGAGAGACGTTAATTATGACACTTTTTAGACTAGCATATTAATTAAACATCAGTGTATTGAGAATAGATATAGTGTCCGTGAGTTACATAAACTGCTTGTATTGTATTTCAGTTCTATATAAAGAAGAAAAATGATTAACTGTTGAGGAGGCTGAACAACCCCTGGGTTGGTCATACAGAATGAGGCTGCTCTCTAGTGTTCACAATTTGATTATTCAGTCAGTCACTTTATTTCTCTGTATCTAGACTGAAATACAATAAAAAAGCAAGAAATAATCATATAGTTTCATAAGAGTCAGTTTTATTAGTTGCACAGTTTATAGTCAATAAAACTGAACTATTCTATTTCATTTTTATTCAATTCAAATAAGTATCTAAATTTAATGATATATAACCATCTCAGGAATATGACTCAACTCAGGAATATTTGTTTAACAAACAAGTTCCGAACATGTCATTGAACACATAGTTCAGTAAAAGAATTTGGAACTTAGAAACTGAGTGCAGTAACAGGACCACAAAGTATCACACGAAACACAGAGCAAGTTACAAATAGGATACAGTGAAGAACAACTGGCTTCCTCTTGTCATGGAGAAGAGTCTCGTCCTCTGGGTTTTCAGTCTCAATGTTTGACGGAACCTTGGTAAATCTGGGAAAGGGAAGAGAGTTCTATATTATCTTTCTCATTAGAGATTGTTCTTCTCTATGTGTTGTGCTGATCCACACTACCATGCCCATAAACATAAACCACCATGAAGGATTTCTATACTCCTAGCACCCTTCTCTCCTGGTTCCTATTCTGGACTGGAGTTCTGTGATGGGCTTTGGACAAAATAGAATGGATGCAAATATGTGCCCAAATTCTGAGTCCTTTGATATCAGGTGCTGTGCTTACCTGGAAGTTACAGAGAAACAAAGAGGCCTAGGTCATCAATAGAGAACCCTCTGCCCTCACACCTACCTGTTGCCCAATGGTCTACAGAAACAACAGTGCGGACACTCCCCACTCAACCTTTGTCTTCCCTGTATTAAATTCTGCCTTTTCACTATCACATTTCCCACCCACTGCAATAATAAGACTCTTCAATCTGACAAGCAGGAGACAACTGTTCTTCCTCTCTGTATCTTGCTTGTAAATTTCCCTGTGTTCCATGTGCTCTGATTCACAAGTGTTGCTTCAAAGTGATGAGCTGCACCTGTGGACCAGTTCCCTCACCTATGTCCTCGACCCTCTTCTCCTTAGACTGCCTTCAGAAAATTGCTTAGATGATATGGTGTGAAGTGACCTTTGGATATTATTTGTGGCATGTCTAAATTGGAAAATCTTATATATCAAAACTAAATAAAAGAAAAAGTAAAAAATGCAATGTTATTAAGGGTGAAGACATAAATGCATTTAAATATGTTTATATGTAAAATTGTAATTGCATTTACATATGTTTATATGTGGAATTATCATTAAAACGTTCTTGAGGAAAACTACTAAAAGTCAATTCACAAAATATAGCTCCCTTAACGCAAACACATTAAACCAAATAATAACTCAGTTTTCAACTAAGCACTGTAAAGATTACTGTATCAGTTTTAATGCATAAGCAATAACTCGGAGATGCAAAATGTATTTAAGAAAAGCAATCAAAACATTACCCTTTGGAATAGCCAAGGCAAGCATAGATTTGAATTTTCTGTCTCTGTTCTGTTAGCTCCTGCCTGTATGTTTTATGAATCTGAATCTGTTCATGCCAGAATGTGGTCTTGTCTTTTCTCCCTCTCTCCTCTCTCTCTCTCTCTCTCTCTCTCTCTCTCTCTCTGTAAGTGGTGTGTGTGTGTGTGTGTGTGTGTGTGTGTGTGTGTGTGTGTGTGTGTTCTTAACTAAGGGTCTTGTCTCCCTCTTCATTGAACAACACAGAAATAATCACAAGAAGGAATGAGGACACTTTAGGAAAACCTTTGGCAGGGTTGTATAATTAAAACTTCCCTGACCCCCAACTGATCCAGATAGCAAAGATCACTGCAAACAGACTATCATCAGTTAATATATATGATGTTTTCAACATTTAACAGTGGATATTTGTTTGTATAAGGTTGCCTTTCAATTTATTTTTGCTTTCAACAAATGCCTAGAATATCATGCATATGTACACACATGTTTTGCTTTCAGCAGTGGGAACAATAAACAGTATATATCTTGAGACTAATGCTCTATTTTAGCATCTATAGTAAAAGTTAAAGTTGGTTAAATGGTGAATCCAAGTCAAGTAAGTTCGCTTGTTACATTGTTCTATTAAAGGCAGGTCAAATAAACCGGCAGAGTACACAGCAGAATGTCTGGCTTAAGTAACCTTAAGATGTACTTATTGATAACTCTGCAGTGAGGTCCAGCAGAAGTTCTAAACTCTTTGAATGTAAGAAATATTTTTGTGATAATGTAAGAGATATATTCATAATAATGTATCACCATAGATTATCGAAAAATAATCACCTTTAATAACATTGTCTGATTATCAGGGTGCCCTACTTTACTTAAGTTCCAGTTTATAAGCGATATGTGTAACAAATATAATAATTTTGGTTATAAATTTATGCAAAATGAAAAAAATCATTACTTCTATCTTCTACATACATACCCAGAAGTATAAATGTTAAATACCTTAGAAAAAAATGCTTGTTTATGAAGGATGACTAAGCATATATCCTTACATATTCTGGCATCTCTCTTAATAGCAAAATCCAGAAAAATGCTTTGCATATTCACCCACCCCCCTTCCACCAATCTTAAAGCCTCAATTTATGAAAATCAAGAGGATGGCAAACCCAGAGCAGATGCTGCTAGGCTCTCAGGGGGATTTCACACTCATAGACATGAGTCTATCTTCACATACGATGAGTGCTCACAGCAGAAATCCAGAGGAAGCACTAGCGTACACAACGCAGAGCTGGCAGAATGATGTGCCTGTGGGTGCAGTGACGCCCTGCATCAGTAAAAGAAAGGTCCAGGTGGCTATGCAAACTTTACAAGACTCTGCAAGTGCAGAATTCCCCTCTAGGCAATTACTGAGAAGGAAATTTAAGGGACAAATAGGCTAGGCAAGCCTTGCTCTTCTCTCCCCTTGCCTCTGCCTTGCTAAAAATTACTAGATGACATTCCTAAAGCTGGCCCCCAAGGTATAGTACCTTACTTGACCACTTCCTCCTCCTGAGGCTAACTAACTACCAGTCCTGTCTGGTAAGTACCCTCCCCAATGCCCAGACCAAGCCCTGAGCGCACATTCTGTGCACCAGCATAGTCTTGTGAGCACCCCAATCCTGTCTAGGCGCTATGCCCCACAATGTCCAGACCTATCCCTGATCCTACATCCTGTACACCAGGCCACTCTTGTGAGCGCCTAACCTGGAGAGCACCATTTGACAGTCCAACGTGGGTAGGAGAAATCTCATAAAGCCCCACCTACAGGAAGTAAATGGATGATAAGATATAGACAATCAATCTTACCCGAGAATGGGCCCCCAGGAAGTTATCTAATCTAAAGTGGTCAGTCCTAACACATAAACATAATAGAATAAAATCTAATTCTAAAGTTTCAGATTCTGCTGAAAATGGTGTTCTTTTACGTTCCAGTAGAGGGCGCAAAACCCAAAGAGTGTAGAAGAAAGCCCCTCCACAGCCCCCAATTCCTGTGTCCCCAAACATTTAAACTCAATCTTTACAATTTTCTTTCTAATTTATTTGTGGGACATATATATTTTTATATAAAATTGCAGCATTTAGATTTGAAGAGCGGATATTTTCTGACCACTCCAAACGGAAATACTTGTCTTCTCCTCTTGAAGAAGAGTTGAAGCTAAATGACAATGAAATGGCAAAGAGGGAAGCAAAGTGTAGGCTGCCATTTCTTCACTGCCATCCCCCCTCCCCCCATGTAAACCCACAAGCACATGGATCCTGAGAACACTCAGAACACTTTATCCCATGAGCATTCTACAGATGTTAATGCATTTTGCTGGCAATAGACATGTTTATTTTATCCTATTTCATTTTTTTGTGATATATAGTGCCTGGGTGAGTTCTTATTATCAATTTAGCACACCCTAGAATGAGCTGAGAAGAAGGAACCTCAAGAGACTATTTGCCTAGACCAGACTGGCCTGTGGCCATGCCTGGGAGCCCCTTGTAAACAGCACCCCACCTAACGAGGCAATACTTAGTTGACAGTTGTATAAGGTTTGAACACTAGGTGGCGCCAAACAGCAACAGTTGACTAAGTGCAAAGCAACAACACAACATAAAACTCAGTCTTTAATTATTTCATTATAAAACTTATGAATAGCAGAGACTTTTTTTCGGATAGAGATTGAACATTAAAAATTTTCACAAATTTTCCAATAGATAATACATCAAACATTAGAAAGTACAACAGCTGATTCTATTAAAAATAAATATAATGGACCAGGTGGTGGTGACGCACGTCTTTAATCCCAGCACTTGGGAGGCAAAGGCAAGCAGATCTCTGTGAGTTCGAGGCCAGCCTGGTCTACAAGAGCTAGTTCAAGGACAGGATCCAAAGCTACAGAGAAACCCTGTCTTGAAATATATAGAGAGAGAAATAATCACTTGAATATTAATTATATTATCATATTAAAATAAAAACTACTAATTTCATTATCAAAATATTTTATCAGAACTGTGCTACAACAATGACATTTAAATTCCTCGTTTGTTAGTCACTGAAATAATAAAAAAACAAAAACAAACAAAAAAGCAAAACCTGTTACTGACGTCCTTGTCCTTTTTTCTTTGGCTTCATGCCAAGGCTGTGGAGTGACTACCTAGGTTAAGAGACTTAAGGGAAGGTGGGAGAATGTGCAATCAGGGAATAAGTAAGAGAGAGTAAGATGCTTTTCAAATGCTTAACTCTCATCACAAATGTATTTGATGTTAACTGAATCGAAGATATTGTTTGAGGGATATTTTCTTTCTTTTCTTTTTTTTTTCTTTTTCTTTTTTGAGAATGGGGTTGAACTATCAAGATCTGGAAACAGAAGAAGGTACTACTAAGCTTACCATGGAGTGTATGTAAAGCAATGCTAAATCTCACTTAGGTTCTGCCTGCTCTCACATCAGGCAGTTCATACTGCTCATTCTGCAGGAGAGATACCAAAGCTCTGTCACTCAAAGCAGCAGAGTTCTTAGTTGTCCAAATCACAATAAGCTAGTTCTTTGCATCCCAGCTTCTTCCTGTTCGCTTTGTTTTAATCAGAATACCTGATAGTAGATCTGTTTGGCAGAGTCAAGATTGCCTAGGTTACTATAATAGCAAAGGAGGCTCAGTAGGTCAAATTTTTAGGTTTCACCTTTAAAAGATTGAAGAACTATATTTATGGCAAATAGCCAAAATATTGGCTTACTATTTTTGATACGTTGTACCACAGAGAAGGTGAACAAACATTATCTAAAATAGTTCAAACTACTCGTTGAAAATTCCCCATGTCATGAATGATTAGGAGAATAAAACTGTAATTGTGTCAGAGACACAAAAGGAAAACTAGAAAGTGGATCTACTAAGGTTGGAGGAAGATGAGAGCGCACCTTGAAAATAAGAAAAATGATAGTAGAAATACTACACAGATAGTGTGTAAGTACAA